AGGTCTCTCTATGTGGTTCAGGCTGGTCTTGAGTTTACTATGTAGCCCAGCGTGGCCTTGAACTTGCAGTGATCCTCGTGCCTTAGCTTCCTGAATACAAATCTGGTTCTTGGTAAATTGACTATAACCATGGTCAACCTTACCTGATACTGCCATAGTCAACAACTAGTCATGTACTAAAGTAGCTATGGGATTTCTACTAAAGTAGATTAGGATTTTGAAGATCTAGACTTTATCATTCTATTAATTATGTGGCTTTCAAAAATGTACTTCACCTCAGTTTCTTGATCCTTTTAAAAATAGACATATTTATTCTGAATTTATTGTCTAAAAGTTGTACTGTTCTACCAAAAACATGTATGTAATATTAATTGTGGACAAACTAAAAATAAATTAAAAAATTTTAAATTACCACATCATGTCAGGTAATTCACATAATCCAATATTCTAGTTTTTATTAGCAATAACAACTTTTAGTACTTTGAAAATAATTTTTGTGTCTTTGACTTTATTCTTTTCTGAGCTATAAAATAATTTGTAAATGTAAAACAGGAAAGTGGGGCCAGGGAGATAGCTCAGTAGAATACGTGTTTGCCTGGCAAATGCAAGGTCCTGAGTTCAGTCCCTGTTTTCGCCAAAAAAAAAAGGAAAGTGACCTATTATTACCAATGTAGGAAAAATAATACTGATCAGGATGTACATATTTCTCATGGCCCCTGGTCCATGCTATTATTACTTTTGCTTATAAAAAGGCATTTCATGTTTATAACTAAACAACAACCAAAAAAAAAAAAAAAAAATACACACAAATTTAAACACTTTTCCAAGTCTTACTAGTACTGTTAAAATACTTCAACAACTGCAACTTAAAAATACATGATGTTCGCTGGGCATGGTACACACCTTTATGCCCAGTACTCAGGAGGATGAGGCAGGAAGATCACTGTATATTTGAGGTCAGCTTGGGCTATATATTAAGCTCAAGACCAGCTGGGCTACATAGCAAGACTCTGTCTCAAACAAAACATGCACGATATTAATTTCTTAAAATAAAACAATGGTTCTGCAGGTGTCCATTTTTTGCTCTCACCTGCCCAGGACCCATTCTCCTTTTTGTTGATTATATCTCCTTGACTTTGTTGAACATTGTATCAGTCAAAAACTCATTTGTATATAAGGAACACTGTGTGAAAATCAAAAGTTAATTATGAAAGTTTCCTTAACCTAAAACATCTGGATTCTTAATTTATTTGAACATGGAATTGAATACTATGGGACAAGGATTCACAACTTACCAGATCTGTAATGACTGGTTGGACGTGGACCTGGTTACAGTGTGCTGTCTCCAGGGTACAAGCTGCAGCCTGTGGGTTGACATCAGTGCACCTATAAAGAACAAAGAAGAAAACTATCTTATATCTGAAGCACATCAGACATGTATGATTGGAATAATAAGTAATATGTCTGTTACGGAATAATTTATGGAAAGTTTTTTCTATGCAGACCAGATACAGAAACAATGTTTTAATAATGGAAAAGAGAAAAAGAACAAACATTTACTATAGTGACAAAAAATGGTTATACTGAACAAGAGAACATATGTATACATGCACACATCTGAAGGAATTTGCTTGACTCTACTACTACAAAGGCGCCAAAAATGAAATTTAAACTTTTTTGTATAGGTAATCAAACTCAGGCCCTTGTGCTTGTCACGCAGTGGTGCCTGGTGCTTGCCTTGCACTGCTAAGCTATCTTTCCAGCTTATAAAAATGTTGGTATGAAAATGCTCATAAATGAGAAACATATGAAATGAACAGAAAAAAGCCTCAAAAACTGAAGGACACATTTTTGGATTATTTGTGGTAAAATTTATTGGCTTTTAATTTTTTCTCAAATTTTAAGTAACTTTCTCACTTTTTTAAAGCCAAATTATGTACCTAAAAAAGATTCAAATCTGTAAATGACTAAAAATATGTTGCTTCTACCATTACACAGCATGAAGGAACAGTTTTGACAATGAAATCATGATTTTTTTTATTTTAATTTTTATTATTATTATTTTTTTTTGCGGAGCCAGGGATTGAATTCAGACCCTTGCGCTTGCCAGGGAAGTGCTTATTCCACTGAGCCATCTCTCCAGCCCCTGAGATCATGATTTTAAGAATGCATAATTTGCAGTGTGGTCTGTCCTCACACTTTCAGATAAATACTATGTACTTAAAGCAACTATTTTGCTTAATTATTCATAGTGGATCAGTGATGACAATGTGACTTATTACATACACTGGTGCCGTGGTACCGACTTAATTGATTCTAGACTGTGTGGTAAGTACTGAAAATGATGAGCACTAAAATACTGCTTTGGCTGGAAAGGGTACTGAATCAGGAGGCAAGTGGCACTGACAAGTTCTAGCTTTCATATCAAGTCCCCCAAAAACAGGGTACTGGGACAAACTTTCAAGTCCAAATACATTGCGTACCAAATGAGATGAGTTTCAAAGTAGCTTAGAATTGAAGTGTTATTTGTACTTACATGTACAGAGCCCGAGGACCTATCATAGAAGCTAGAAACGCGGACACCACACCAGACCCTGACCCCACTTCAAGGCATATTTCCACTCTAAAAACAAACCCAGCAAAATAGTTAGTATGGTAATATTAAAGCATACTTTACTGAAAAGAACTCTCATGATAGTTAGAATGCATTTTTCCAGCATCATTACTCACAAGGAAAATACAAAAGAAATTTCAAATTTTTTTAGAAATTTGTAATTTTTGACAATGACTTTGTGCTCAATACTGCATAACTAAAAAATGCTAATATTTTAGGTGTCCAACATATGGTAAATCCAGTTATATATTACAATAAGGGGATGTCTTCATTTGAAGAAAACACTACATAAAATGCATAAAACTATGTTAATTTAGGGTTGGGACTATTAATATGAAGGACTTCATCCCTTCCCAAGAAGAGCTTTTCAGTATTTTCTAAATGGTGCTCTATTATTACAAAATTTGTTCATGAAAGAAGTTTCTGTCATTTTTACATCATTACCCTTAATAAATTTAATGCAGTGTTCTAGAAAACTATCCTCTATTCTAATAACTTAGGACAGAAAAGACATGTCTTTTTGTACAGCTGTATGCTGCATGGAGAAAGTGAGTACCTAATCCCACAATGTTGAAAAGCTGAATTGCTACTGAATAAAATACT